AATGTGAATAAATTTGAGGTTTCGTTTTCACGACAATATGAGTTTCACAAAAAAAGCAGAGTGGTACACTGCCAGATCCGAGCATCTTATTGACTAGAATAAACATGGTTTGAGGCCAAAAAAGATTAACAGAATCAAAGGAAGGCCAAGAAAAAGGAAATTGGGAAGGACCAGTGAGTCACTAGTGGCATTTGTGTTAAAAATTATTCTACGCCAAATAGGTCCCGCTAACCTTCGTGATACTTCGGAAGACAACACAGATTCCAAATTCGATCTTGTTATGTGCCGTAGAGGTGGAGCACAGAGTACTGTAATTCAGGTGTTGGAAAAAATCGAAGCGAGTTTTTCTGATTGAATAATTCATATAGTTGCTTCTCTAATTTATTAATTGTATTTGCATAATATGTATTGAGCGATAATGTTTGAATTTTAATTATTCTACAACCCAAATCGCCATGTTTACAGTAAAGAGCAAAATCTTATTGTACATTGCACTGTCTAAATGGCTATGGTTACAATGATAGACAAAGTGCTTATTGTAATGGTTTAACCTCATGTTCCTAATCTACCATCATATAATTCTTTCTCTATGTATTTATCGATGTACGATCCTTCGTATAACTCCAAAAGTGCAAATTTCTTGTTGTCCAATACCATCATAAAAGGAATGGAGGTGGAATCAGTTCTATTTGCAGTGTTATTGGCATTCCCCTACTGCTCTCCAATATCATTCCAAGCCGAATATCCTCATACTAGTTAAGAGTTACCGACAATCTAAGTGAACGATTCCAACTCAACCAATTACCTGTACCGATTATTCCGGTTCAATAGAAGCACTTTGTTACCTCGAAAATCTGCTTCCACTCAGGTACCCCCAATATTACCAATATTATTATATCAACGAACAACTTAAGATCCTGAACATCTGAGCTGTTTGGCCTGATCTTTTTCAGTGATTTGTAACGGATGGTTTGTACTGTCTGATCCTATGAATTTTAGGATCCTGTGATTTACCACAGAACCCTTAAAAGTCCCCTTTCTTGAGAAATAAATTTTCTGAGAAGCAGTAAGAACAGATAAACGGGTTCGTCATCTCCAATTTTAACATTGGCATTTGTATAAGTTGCCAAGTTAAGCAATGCGGCGTAAGGAAAAAAGTAAGTGCTTTCAACAGTTCTGGTACATGGAGTTTGCGCCATATTCGAAGAAATTATCCAGTTTAATTTTTTGGTGATTTTAAACCTTGTTTATCAGTGAAAGCCCTGAAAAAAAAATAGTATCGAGGAGTACAGATATCACAATATACAGCATGGACGTTGCGTCGGTATTGCTAAAAATCAGGATTACCTGTGCAATGACTCAGTCTGAATTGCTATCCTATTTCTTGATGAAAGGAATCTAAGATCATAAGAAAATAAATCTCACTTCAAAGAGAAATGGGAGTTAATCGTTTTAAAGGAAATAGGCATGATAAAGCACGCTTTTAATGATATGACGAAATATCAAGGGGAAAAGCTAATATGGTGTGAACTTCCTTATACGAGGAAAACTCAGGAGGAACACAGGTCCTCTGATTTGAAATCAGATTTGAATTATTTCAAGAACTGGATCCTTGAAAAGTTCCTTCTTTAGAATGATGCCAAATTCCACTGAAATGCTATCCCTTTCAGTTTCGCTTTCTCGACAAATTGATGGATGTTTTATAAATCCGGTCCGATTTCAGTTTACTTACTCATGATCAAAAGTCTCATGCAATTAATCCTAACAGTGGGGTTGGATAAAGTATACAGTCCTTTTTTCTGGTCCTCTAAGCCTAGGACTTGAGTAGCAATATTTAATCTGAGGCGTGTAATGCGTTTTACAGGAAGCCATATCACAGATGGGAATCCTTTTGTATCAACCTTTCGTCTCGTATGATTATGCCTCCCAAAAACATATTTCAACAGTTTTCAGATTGCGGAGCAGGTGATGATATCATTATCAAACATAGAGATGTACTTTCATGACGTTTCGCTTGGACTCAAAGAACTGTGGTAGGTCAAGCTTACAGGAGACACCAAACAGTGATCAGAACTTTACTTGGTGCGAGTTAATCTTTTGGAGATACTTTCAGCTTCTCCCTCCAATCACTGAAACGGTTGTTGTTTGTCGTATACAATTCCGTACGAAGTCACACGTCACTATCCAAACGAGAAATGATTCGTTGTTGTTCTTTGATGAACAGAGATTGAGCTTTTCCACCTTCTCAATTTACTTCAAATGTCAAATTGTAATGAACTAGTTGACGTTGAGTTCTTTGAGAACTATCATAGTTGGCAGAGGTCAACTTCAATGCTTGTTCTCAACTGGTCGGTGTCAACTCCTGATGTCTGGTCAATACGTCTTTCATCTTCAAGACTTTCGTCTCTCTTACAAAACTTCTTGGACAGGAACTGTGCTATGCTTCGTCAGCAGTTTCTTAGCTAATTTTGTTATTGATATTGCAAGTTGGCACCTTACGACGCATTTCGGATTCAAATAAAAAGAATTTTCAGTTTGTCTGTGTCTAAAATAGATTTAAATAAATAAGAAGAGAGAAATCGGAGGTGCAATTCAAGAAATGAGTATTTAAATAACAAATAATATTTTGGCATTCCTTTGAGGATATGGAACTGTAAAGTTCAGCGATGCAAAAGCTGTAATTCATCAATGCAATGTCCTTTACAAGCCTAATTCACTTTCAGAGTTAGTGGATAGAAATAACGAGCTATCGTTGCAAAGAATTATTTCGAGGCCTTTGTCAGTTATCTCGCAGTTACAATCATGTATGTGCAATAGTACTGAGGAATATCCAAAGGATTTAACCCTGCATATAATTGCAACTGTACTATCTTGTCTTCATATGGTGGCTTAATTGCGTGACGGTAAATCTTGTTTCGTAGCACTTTTTAAATATAATGAGAGCAATTATCATCCTTGGCAATCATTCAAACTTCATCTCTTGTCATTTCTGTAAATTCTAAATAAAAAATTCGATTTACACTAGCTTTCCAGAACAATTTGATAATTCTTAGTTCCATTTTCTGTAAATTAAAATTCAACGACATTCGCGATGAAATTTTTAGTGGATGGAAACTTTCTTTTCAACTGGAAGATGGGAGAGTTGGGATGATCGGATAAGTAGAAGTTAATGATTTATAAAAGAAATTTTATCGTTCAGGAATTATGGAAAACGAATATAAGCATGCAAAGATTTGAAAGGTGGTGCATTTAAAATAAGCGGCAGTGGAAGTAGATGATACGTAGTGTTAACGGAGCAATGTAATCGAAGTAGCGAAACTTTATAGCATATGAAATTCTCATTCAAACCCACCCCATACTTTTAGCTAGACGACTAGGAAATAATTACTGGTGAGAAAATAGTTGAAACCTAAAATGTACCTTAGTTTTATTGCCTTAATTTGATGATATGTTTGGTCCGAAATAATTAGGTGGCCCAATTATTAATTTAAATATCAAGTATTGATTTTTAGGGAATTCTAGTTTTATTTATGAAAAGGGTAGTTGAAGTTTTTCATTAATGCCTAATTCCCGTTGTTTGATGACAATAACAAGTCTCAAAGTACACTAAGGGTGCAATACAGTAAGGATAGTTAAGAATAAATCGGAAGTTCTTTCCCTTCCTAATTAATTTTACTTTCATTCGGGAATTTCATTGTGCTCTTCATTGTTTATAAAGTGGTATTAAGAAGCTCATTGATGTCAGGAGATGGCACTGGTGTCGTCAGTTAACAGCGAAATCTATATGAATGGAATAATGTCCTATCTGATATGATACTATAAGATTCCAGTATAAAGCAAGTTCTGAAACAAGAAAGTGGATTGTCTCGGTTCGGATGGCTGTGTAGCATTAGGAAATAGTAGAATTGTTATTGGTACGAAATATTGAACAGCAGACGTGGCGTATTGTTTTTATTTTCTTCGAGAAATATTTTCGTAAAAAAATTTGAATTTAATGGTATCACAACACAAACTATGTTTTTTCTTGCATGTTAGGAAACTTTCAGAATTATCTGTCCACCACTCAGTTAAGTCTACTCTCGAATGATGAGTGTCAGCTAAAAATGAGAAAACATTAAATAAATCAGCACTTCTCATCACTTTTCAGATCATTTAAGCGCATTTCAAACTTTCCTTATTTTGTCTTTCAGATATTATTCCCCTTTATAATTTTGAATTCGTCATCTGCAGATCTATTTGAAATTAATGAGTTAAAAACATCAATCACCACCTACAATTTGACTTGAACTCCTTACGATTCAATGTTCTAGTTCGCGAACAAATCGGAGAAGAGCATTATGTGTCTGACTTAAAAGTGGACATTTTTTCAAGTTACAATAGAATACAATGCTAATTGTGAAAAAGAAAGAAGATATTAGAAGCGAGATGAACATACCGGATCAAGAGACAAACTAAGGTGACAATCGTTTTCATTTGAAAAACTTCAAAAGGGGAGATGTCTCCGCTAATAAATTTGTAAGTAATTCTAAAATAGAGGAGGAAGGGTTTCTGTTAATTTTTTCCTACTAAGAGTGTGAAATAAAAAGTTCTTCCCTCTTTCTCTTTTTTATCAGACAGTTTTTTTTTCCAGGAGAACTTTGAGATAATTAACGTTGTAGCCAAGATCAAGAAGTAGGGATGAGTTCAAATCGCCCTGGTCACTCTGATATTTGTTAGCATGATTTGAACGATAAAAACACCAACAGGTTACTTTTTAATAACATAGTTTTTCAAATATGGTTGTTTTCAACTGGTTTTTTTCGAATTTTATAGATAAATAAGCAGTCAGTTGTTTGTTTGTATTGAGCAACTGTTTTGCTATTTATACTGATATAATAACACTAAAGATGTCAAGTGGTCTGGCTTGGCAAGTTGTAAATAATTCCAGAAAGTATTCTAAAACTGGAACTTGCTACCCAGAGATTGGTAGCTGGAGCCAGATTTAAATATCCCACATATTTAGCAGTTTAAAATCTTACTGGATCGAATTCCCCGGCAATGAAGTAATCAACTGCCACAATTTTCGAAATTTGTAAGAAATGCAGAATTCAGATAACTCTGTTTCTGAATTTTTTACAGAAAAGAAATTGAACTTCTATCTCAAACACGTAGTCAAATCATTTTATCTTCAGAAAAGTTCTTCGAGCGATAAGATCCTTCAGACGATGAATTGCTGTATCAATGATAGTAATCGTTTGAAAGAGATCATCTTTAGCAATCTTTCATGACTTTAAAATTCTTTGTGAATCATTTATTATTGATATAATGTCCATATACAAGTTCAACAAAAAAAAAATCATTTAAAAAACAAATCGAGTTTTCGAGTGAATATTTCAAAATTTTTGGTCAGAATAAGAGTAAACAGAAATGAGGATGAAACTGGGTACCATGTTGTTACTCTCGGTATTGTTGTCATTAACACTTGGTAAATTTAACAGATTATTGCTGCAGCTTAGTTTTAGACTTTTTTTTTTCATTATTCCAATGCCTTCAATAAGATTTTTTTAGTTGTTCTAACAGTATAACCTTAGACATTGATTAACCTATAGTTATCAGGCAAATACAAAAGCATTTCATTTTCTTAAGGAATTTCATTTTTTGCATGAACGCACTTCCTGTGGTTTTAAAACAACTTGAAAAAATTGCTTTATTATTGGAATCATAGTGTTCTAAAATACATTGAGATCAAGGTGATCACGCTAATAAATATAGAACAAGCTATGATATAAGTTATAGATTAACAAACATTATCGATGATAGTTTTGATTTCACCATCAGGAAAGATTTTTCTCGGAGAATCATGAGGAATAAATACAGGTATGTGAAGGCTGAACGATATATTCTCCTAATTCTGAGTATGCTTGTTCTTTGAAATTAATCCGTCATCCTTTTTTCCGCATCACCTGCCGGCCTCATAACCACAAAAGTCAGGATTTTTCAAAATGTAAATTTTATTTCCGAGGGATAGGTGAACTTATATAAACTTCTCTTCGGTACTTTCTTATTCAAAAATTTACATCTTACACCATTGAAAAGTAAGAATGAAAAGAAGACTTAAGTCGCTCGAATTTCATAATAATTACAAATAATAAAGTAGAAATTATATACGTATCAATTCAATGATTTTACTGATACAAGGAAAGTAATTTTCATTAATGCATTGAACAATTATGAACAATCTTTCCTCCGACGTTCTCGTCTGAAATAACTTAGTGGTAGCAACTCCTTAAAAAAACTGCACATTTTATATGAAGGAAGCCAGTTGTATGCGATGATTTTATAAAAACGTCTAATGCTAAGGTTAAATTCTCATTATTAATTAAGAAATTATAAACTATTAAACAGAAGGAGGAGATAAAAAGGAAAAAGATCCCTTTTTTTCAATGACTCTGTCTTCATCCAATCTATATAGTGACGGATGAAGCAACGGTACTCAACAAAAGTTATTGAATTTTTCCAGGAAATCCATGTGTCACAAATAGTTTTCGGCGACAGCATATGACTAAGAAAACCAAGATTATTGATATGATTGGATAAGAATGTGAGAAAATTGCGACATTTATGATTGTGAAATGAAGTAGTCATCTCTTTCGAAAGATTTATGAGTTAAGAAGTACTTAGTTTTTAAAATGACTCAGGAATAGAATTCCTCAGTTACAAATGCTATAAATTTGTGGCTCTTAACGCACACAAAAAATATGCAATCATTGGTTTAATCGTGGAGGATTTATGTTCAATATTTAAGACTAAAAAATCACAAATTTAGTATACATTTGTTAAGGAACCGTCATAGAAAGAAACGAATTCGAAACATCTTGCGATATTTCAGATTTATTGGTTGTAGAAGCATTGAAATGAACAAAGGCTGAAAAGTCATCCAAAAGTTGAGTGGACATGAATTCGAAGAAAAAACCTAAGCACCAGTGGCCTAATATTTCTCCAGGTACTTACTTTTAAAGCTGAAATCTTGTCATTTATTTGTAAAATTTCAAGTTTTTGATCATAAAAAATGATAAGCTATGAGAAAATTTTATACGAATCATAAAGTGTGATCAATCATTTTATCTTCAGAAGAGATTGAAGAGACTGATTCTGTTGATTGTGCAAGGTGAAATTGTTGAAATTTGAAGGCTTTACAAACGGAAACAGAAGCTCTTAAACAAGATCAACATGTAACATTTTCAATCTCCCCTGCGCATCTACTGTTTTCCCCGCCATACTAATGATCAAATATGCGTCGAGTATAAATGTACTATTGAGATATTTTCTTCGCCAACCCAATAGACCTGCAAAGAGATCGTGAAAGTGGTCGAGCAGTAGTGGAAGGTAAAAGGGTCCTGTCCTTCCCTTCAATCTCAACTGTTTTGGATAAGATTGGAATTTTCAGTCAGAAATGAATGATTGGATCAGTCATTATATAACAATTTGTCGAGGTTCTTATACCATCACTGATACTGATTTGTCAATCTGCCAATCTGGTACATTCGAAGTTCTCTGAAACAGTGTTACTTTTAGGAGGGTTTAGAGGAGAGGACCTTTATAACCTTATTCCTGATTCCAAATGGACCCAATCAAAATTTGTTATCACTAGGAGAAGGACAACTAAAGAGATCCGGGGGTTCCCAACACAGCGATGAGAATAGAAAAAAGTCAAGCTGTCAACCGCCACTGAAAAATTCATAGTCAGTTTATAACGGCTACTGATCTAAATAGATTTCAAATACCAAATTATCAAAATTAATTAAATTGAAGAATATGACTAAAGAATGATGTCATTTTGATATCATGTGAAAAAATCATTCATCAAAATATATTCATAAATATTTTTTGCATAACTTTAATCGCTTTCATAAAATGAGACTAAAAATATATTCAAATGCTGTTGCTTCTAATGATAAACCCATATAGCAAATTATTCTCCATTTGACCTCAAAATTTGTTTGAAAGATAAACAATTTGACGGTCTAAGATTGCTCATCAAAAAATTTTTTCTTCATTGTGATACTTTACTATTAAATGCTAATTACTGGAACTTTTTTAAGTCGATTAAAATGATCAATTTTATGACCTATGCAAATAACATGAAGACTACTTCCAAAACTTGTCCTCTTCTGTCCTTTTCATCTATGCTATACATTCTTGAACTATTTACTTCTTTCAAATACCTCGGTAGCAGCAAACATTCATATTCATACTTGCCAGTATATGTTCGACTGCAAATTCAACAACATTTTCAAGCTCAACTTTGTTAAATATTTCTTTAGGACGAGATCAGATATAGGACAGTAAGACAAAATTGGAAGTAGTTCGTCATAATTTAAACAATTTTGAGAACTTAAGTGGTGATTTTAATTATTTGTAGTCTGTTAATGTAGAAATTTCGTCATATGTAAAGCACAATGTGTCCTCATCAAACATTTGTTCCAGTTGACAATATATTAATGGAAATGAAAGAGTTGTTGGCATAGAAGCTGTTGCCGATTCTAACCGCTTAAAATATCGCTTTTTCCATCTAGTAATTCACACCGGATAATTACTTTATCTTTTTAATCCTGAGTACTTTCAGTCATTTAGTAATAAGCTGGGTATATTAATATTACCGCTTTAGTTCTCGTCCATTACTCGCGACTTTCCTTTATAAAAATAATTTCGTACAGAGCGTTCTATATTCAGTAACGGAAATTCGGAGAGCATTGAAGCTTGGAAACCAAGCAAATATGCAATAAATAGATTAAGTGGCGCAATAATGAGAAATTGAGATTTGGTTTCGTAGTGATAAGGAAAAGTTATATGCAGATAAGACGCAAATATCACAGGCAGATGACTAAGATAGACCTGAAATGTTGCTTATTCTTACTTAACCATGATAATCATTGGAGTAGTTAATTCAGTCCAGTCCTTAAGCTTTTCTACATATTGATTGAACTGTACAGATGTAAAAATATGGTAAACAATAAAATGATCTTACCGAGTAGCATAACATAGAGAGTGGTAAAAATAATTTAAAACTTAGGAATGTATTAATGAAACTGGCATATCCACTGTGACAAGCATAAATTAGCCAAGCTATAGCAACAGCAAATGTTGTACGATGAAGCGCTCCATAAATCAGATAATAAAGCTTCCAGTCCAAATTCTGCAAATGTAAAGCCAAACTGAAAGAAATATTATTATCAGTTCTTACGCTAAATTTTATTTCTATGAATTTTTTCTTTTGAAGTACAGGAAGATGTTCAAAAACTTACAATTAAAACCGGATAAAGACCGAATACACTGATAAAAGCAAGGAAAATCGCCAAAATCCAACCACAAGTGACAAAAATGGCCGAGTGTCGTTTGTTACAAACTTTCATGGCTTGAATCTTGGCCAAATGATGGCCGAGTAACAAACCAATAATATATGGTGCTGCGCGGTACTGAGGTTTGATGTACATCACCACAAAATGCTTTAAATGACAAGAAATTAAATTTTATGTTAGGAAAGCATAGTGGTAGTGATACGGTTGCCGATGCTATCGTATCACTATTTGTAAAGCATATCATTGTTTTCCATTTTCATGACAACTTTTACTGACTGCATGCAATGTGCATCCATTCAAACATTTTAACAAATCATAGCCTCAGGACAGAAAGGGAACTCGTCACTTTAGCTAGTGGCGGAAAAAGTGGAATTCCTAATTTGGAATGTGAAATGAGATCCATCATTTAAAATAATGTAAAAATTACTATTCACATCACTCTAACATCCTTATGTGATAAGAATTTTATGTCAAATGGATAGAAAAAGTAAATGCACAAACCTCCATAAAATTGGAATTATAAATTGGAGGTCTGTTCCAGCCAAGTTGTGTGGGTGGCATATTATAAACAATCATTGCATAAACTCGGCCTGCATCTGATAAGGCTATACAAAAGATAGATAATAGATATCCCTGATTCTTATTTCGACCAAGTGCTAGTAGAAATATAGGCGACAAGAGGTACAAAATGAATTCACTGCTTACATACCTAGAATTAATTAATAAAATTCTCTTTGTATATAATTAACATTGCCTGTTAGTCAGCTGATGGCACGATACATGCTATCGTAGTTGCGGGAATCCGAGAGTGGAATAAAACTAAGTAATTTTCACGTATCAAAGGATTACTCTGGTCAAATAGTAGAATGAAGATCATTGCATCGAAGTGGAAGATCACCTACCAGGCCCATCCCATACAACGATGTTCAAATAAACTCCCTATAAGTAATAAATTTTGCCACCAATATTTGGAGCATTGTACAACGTGATCAATTTCAGGCCATAATTCCTGATAAAATATGTTGGTGAGGAAATATAGAAATATCATAGTATAACAGTAGGTTGGCCATAACCGGATAATTCGATGCACATAGAAATTCAACCAAAACTTTAAAGACTTCCACGTTGGCTTTGTCTCTAAATAATTAATTGATGGGTCTGCTTTCATTACAACATATCACAGTTTGATTAGGTGATGTTATTAACATTATTTAAATATGAATGGGTCTTTTTACATAATTTCTTTAAAAAGTTGGAATTCTATAATACTTACCCATTTCCTCGTACTTCTGAAAAAACCCGTATGCATTCACTGTCCCTCCAAGTACCAAAAATACATCGACAGAAAGAAGAAAGTTCGCAATCCATTGATTGCCAAAATTATTGGCGATATCATGATAATATTCGCCAACATTATCAATATACGGCTAAAATTTGTTGAGCATAGCAGTTTGAAATCATCATCATCACCATGGCTAGACTTTGCGGATGAAGATCTGGGAAGGGCTCTGTCCTACTTGCTGCAAACGTGGATTTCTACAAATGTGGATTTCAGACTACGCAATGAACTTTTTAGGTGAGGCACAGCATGCGCGGGGCTGCCTTTATCCTTTACCCCTAAGATTCATCTGCCAGAGCTTAGCAGGCCAGGACGGTGACAACGAAGTTCTCAGGACGTAGGTTTTTTTGGAATATCCTTCTCTGAGATGCATTTATGATAAAAGAACCAAGAGAATAAATAAATTCAAAAAATGTGTAGTGCCTATAAATGCTATAGAATGTACGAAATATTAAAAAGTTAGAAAAATTTAACGATTGCAAAAAAAATAAAAATTCAAATAAGATCTTCAATATATCTTTAGAACAACGAACAGCAACAAAAGCAAACATATGACCAATGATAATCCAAATCATCGTTAAGAATCGTATGCCAAACATACAAGTGATAACTTTCGATCGATTTTTCGGCATTTTGAACATCATGCCAACATTTTGCTTGAACGAAAATGCAAGAAGGATTTGCTCTTTCATAGTTCTGAATTTAGTAATTCAAGAATTTGAATTACTTCTTTTGAGATATAACCCATTAAAACTTAACTGTATCGGAAAGAAGCGATATATTTTAACTCTTGCTTGCTATTCAATAAAAAATATTAAATTAAAATATTTGATGAACAAAAAACATACTTTGTTCCAGAAGCACTCATAATTTGGTAAATACTTGAAAATAAAACAATCAACCATAGAACTGTATTACAGGATAATATAATGATGGGCAGTGGTTTGTCGTACCACTCCATTGGACGACGAGAATGGACACATAATGAAGGTGAGCTTTGGTTTTCTGGTAGCTCAACGTCAAACACTTTCTTGTAGATATTCCAAAACTTTAAATTTATTGCTAGATTTTGAAGTGGCGAATTTTTCCTCAAAAATTTAAAAAAAAAATTGAAAGATAACATATGAAGGAAGCCTTTAGTAAAGGAAACCTTTTTGTATGTCCTCTATTAAACTTTTCTTTTTTCCTCATTCTTATCCTAAATTATGATAATTTGCACTCTGCTTGTATTTAAGAATGCCATCGTAAGATCAAACTACTCTTCAGTCGTTTTAAAAAATTTTTCCAATGTAAGTTGTGGAAGTTTAAAAATAGTACCTTATGTTGTTCATTTAAACATAACTTTGGGAAACAAATAGTATGCGCAGTAGATTTATATTGTTTTGGATCATAACGATAACAAAATGTTGTTGGATATTGGGAAACTGAAAATGTTGATTCGCCAGCTAATTTGAAGCAAAGCAACATTCGAAATAGCTGTAAAAATCGATCTTTTTTAAAAACATACAAAGAATATGCACTCTTTTAGAATTCAAACTTGAAACATTCAATTTCTGAGCTCATGAAAATTTGTTAGTCGAGTCACAAGAAGATCAAAGGTATTTCATGATAAGTTAGGTGATAGTGAATATGTGATAAGAAAATTCTCGAAAGCATTAAATTTAAAGAGGGAAGTCAATGGCTATTTATGCTAATTAATATAAATTGTAATATATTTTTGCAATATATGCCATATCAAACTGTTAAAGATTAATACTAACAAATCTGCTATCTGTAATAAATTCATTAGATATGCCATGTCCAAATGCAGGATAAAGTGCGTTTAACGCATTTAATGGACTAAGGCTGGAATTTTGATAGGCGCTGACCTGAAAAGAAACTTTTTCAGTGAATGATTAATTAAAATATGTCATTCGGGTGATTCATAAAGACATTTGTAGAGTGTTATCGAAAAATGTGTATGGCATAAATGCCAGAAAATATTTGTGTTTGAGAATCGATTCGTTTCAATCTTTTTCACTTCATAGAATCACTTTGTGACACTACAGCGAAATACTGAAATCTAAAGGAATATTAATCGCTTTTTTCGTTCAATTTATTCATTTCAAAACTTCTTTGCCAGAATAATTGCAGAGCAGAAAAGTAAAAGGTCTAATTCAGTTATTGCTAAGACATTAATATATTTTGCAATATTTGCAAGTTTAACACCATTGACGATATCTGCAAGCTTACTTTCAGTAAATGCTCATAACAATAAGGTGACAAGGACCAGAGTATTTTCTCCTCTGTATCTCTTACAGTCAAAATATCGCTAGCTTGGCCAAAAACTATAACCAGTTCTGTTATAAAACTTATGGCGTAGAAATCAATTGAAAGCCGCATATTCACTGCAAAAAAAATAGTAATAATTAAGATTAACATTTTTCAGTCACTAATAATTCGTTTCAGGCCATCATAAATATTTTTATGCTCTCGTTGTGTCATCTCATTGTCATCTGTGTCTCTATTCGCTATCATAATAAAATTGAATTACAAAAAACGAAATGACGACAATTCATTAGCGTTTCTAAACGAAGATCAAGTTTTACGACCTGTTTAAAAAGTCCTCAATTCCACTATGATACGTGCAATTTGCAACGAATTACACCTCCGTTTGCCGGTTACGTTTTCCTGGATGCTGAATGTTTATCTTCGAGCTTTTGCCTATTTTCAGTATTTTTATATCCCAAACTTACAATAATGTCAAATTTGTAACGAACGACAAAAATGAATATAGAAGGAAGTTATGAAAAGAACAACTAAGTACCATTGTTTCGTTAAAAAAAAGAACCACAAAAATAAACTTTTTAGGTAAATACAAACGACACACTTTCGAACAAACATCATTTACACATTTTTTGCAAGTGCTGTGACTAGTTGTTCACAAGAATGTATGTTTGTTTGAAAGTGTGCGGTGAATTACAGTGATGCGGCGCAATGGAGTAACTGAAAAGGGTTGTTACTGCAATGGGATGCAGATGCATTGTCTATCTTCACAATGAGACACTGTTAATTCCAGTTTTCTAAAGGTTTTATTCATGAAAACTAGAACTGATCGTCTCCACTTCAACTGAGAATGTAAATTAGGCGCACAAACAGAGTTATCTTTGATTATGTTCAATTTAGTGATTTTAACCATTTTTCAAGTAATTTAAAAACTGTAAAATTGTTGAGAGCAACGCCTATTATATTGGTCTAATTTAAACCGTAATGCGGGTTATTCTGTCCAACGTCCGTCAGCAGTTACTGTATTTAATTCCAATCATGAATATCTTCAGGTAGTGGCTGGAAATAAGATCATTCACTAACAATTTGAGATTCCGTTCCCACTTTTTTTCTAGTCTATGTGTAGTCTATTATTGATCTCAATAAGATCTGTCTGAAAGTAAGAACGATTCAGAGAATTAAGCCAGAAGCTATTAGCTACCTTTAAAATCCAACACCATACTAGTTGACAGACCATGTTACAGAGAAATGATTGATCACCACCATTTCAGCCACCCGATTTACTCAAACAGTCATATATTAAATGGTGCCGGCGATACTTTTAGAAACCTTTCAGTCTACCTGTTCTTTCCATGCCACAAAAATAAAAATGATAAATTTTATTACTCATTCATCAGTTGCTAGAAGAGAGAAAACAAGAAATGAGCAGTAAAATAGGCCACATCTCATCAGCAAACAAAAATAAAAAAAGTTATTTTAATAGTGAACCATGAAGGAGTAATTACCATCATATACATAATATATCTGAATTTGATAACAGCAAATATTGGTCTGTTTTACTGTAGCTAAGACTTAAAATGCTGAAAGAATAACTTGAAGCTCAAATACATCATCAGAATTATTCGTAACTATTTCTGGTTCTATTTGGATTTGGCACAAAGAATTGGCCATGCATACATCAAAGTTAAAAGTTAACGAAGCTGTTCCAACAAACATTCGCAACAATTTGTTTCTATTTAAAAGAAAAAAAAAGGAAAATGTAATATTCACGCATTCACGTCAAAAATTTCCAGTAAGGAATTTGTTCCATTTCCAGAAGATTTATTTGTGTCATCCTAAATGTATTAATCGTAACTTTTGGTTTTGCTTGAATCCGACACAAAGAATCGATAATGCATACACTAAACAATTGCATCAACTTTTTAAACTAATATCGATATAGAGATCAAAAAAATTCAAGCAAAGATGACAATATCATGGAAGTGATAGAAATTATATTATTAAATCATCTTGTTGATACCTTGCAAATTATTTGCTTTCGTAAGTGTCATTCTTTCAATTTCTTTCCTGCATTATGTTTGTAACAAAGCTAAAACACTAGTACTACAACAATTCAAGAGGATTGTATGCTTAAAGCATTATAAAGGATAAATTAAAGAAGTCAAGAGAAAGTGTGCACAAATTACAGAATTAAATTTCGGAAATCCCTGAGCTGCTAAGCAAAGAATACAAAAATAATAGAAATTAAAATTTCAATAGTATGGAAAAAAGCAGGGACGAAAACCTTATGAGCAATGAATGGAAAAGATTCATGATATGCTTAAATGATACGCACTAATGGATGAGATGAATAGGACTTATACTGGTAGTTACTATTTTAGAAAATATTTTAAACATGTCAGGATAACCTGACTTGGATAATTTCTATAATTTCTGTTAAAATGGAAAAGAATTTTTGAACTGAGCTTGTCGGTGAATTCGATGTATGCAATGGTCAAAACAAGGAATGTAAATAATTTAAATATTCCTAATTTAGGTAAATGATTTAAGTATTTATAGTAGCTAATATTCCAGTTCATATTTACAAGCTGGTGATTAATCCTATACAGCTATTACCTCTTTTAATATAAAAGACTGGGAGAGGCACTGGTCGTATCGTTATATACATAATCAAGAAGTAGTTAAAATACCTAAACTGGGTGACTAAAGATTCGAGAGGATGAATACCATTTAGAATTCAAATGATGAATAGAATTTAGGTTCTGAATTTATTTGCTTAATCATCAACTTGTAAATATGAACTAAAATGTTGACTACCTAAATTATTTACATTCCTTATTTTGACCACAATTTAGGTATTTTAATTATTTTATGAACCAAAACACGATTCGTGTTTCTGGCCTTTCAGTCTAAGCAAACTACTAGTAGAAGTATTGCTTCAAAGTGAATTCCACTCCTTAAAAATTCTGATATGGAGTGAAATATCTCTATTAACAACGATATCTAAATGCATACAATTTGCTGTACATCCTAAATGTGTACGAAATCCAAGCACTAACTACCATAATGAACACTTTGATATTGGGTTCATCGGTGAATTCGGTGGACATTTGAAAGCTTCAGCGAAACTAGGCTGATTAATGACTACGCCATTAACACGGAATCGAGATGGTGCATGTTGATCGGTTAGTACTTGCCTGATTAACGCAGCCGGTCGTGAATGTCCACACCATGTCTGTAATATTTTGTCGAAGTTAGGATTAAAAGGCAGAAAAGGCAAGAAATAAAAGTGGAATCAAAGCAAGCAACTTTCGAAAATCTAGTGCTCTCTTTGTTCCGGAAATGTATTGTTTAATTTTTAAATTGTGAACTTGTGGTCAATCTTCAACTGAGAGCAGTGAAAAGTTTTAAGTTCGAAAATTTCGTAGCGTAAAACATTTTCATTCTAAATATAGATTTTATAGAACAGTTGACACTGACACTCTGAGAATTGATTGTGCAAACTGGGACGGAGAGGCAAAATTTACCTGTGCACTACTTAGGAAGAATATTTGATTCATATCGAGATTTTCGAGTCCCGGCAAGCGTTTCTCCTCATGACCAATTTTTTTAATGTAATTTCTATATGCCTAAAGCAAATTTACATTGAGAAAAAATCGTGACAATTTCGGTTTTCCCAATAAATTTTTACTCTAAAAATTTTCAGATATCTCTTAAATCCATAGAAAAAGTAGAAATTTGAAATATTATGGGAATTAAGAATCTTCGCCAATGGATGAATAAATATTTGCCGACAATTTCCAGGCTTTGTTTTTACTAGGTATCTGCCTACAGCTTCAAAAGCCTTAAAAGATTTGTAAGATATAGAAAAATTAGTAAAATCTATAGTTTTGAGAAAAACTTGGAGGGGGATAAACTTACTCGGAAGGCTTCTTTAATTCCACCATTATCAGCAATGTTTTCACCCAATGTACGTAGCCCGCTAATGTGCAAATTTGTTCCGGGAACAATGTAATTATTGTATTCTTTCATGAAACAATCTTTTTTTTCTTTGAAATTCTGCTTTGTTGCACCATCCCACCAGTCGCGCAGATTACCCTGATGGTCAAACTGGCTTCCTATAAAAAGATCAATTTTACTTTTTATAACTTGTTGTGTTTAGTCAGTAGTAACAGCATGTGAATAATCAAAATTACTTCGTAATTTTAATTTTTAAATTTAAAGCAAACCTTTGGCAATACAGTTTTTCAGATTGGTTTGCAAAGGGTAGAAGTGCACAGATTGGTACTGCATGCATGGTAATGAGCTTTATTTATTGCTTTGCATGGATTAAAAAGGGATTATTGCATTAAAAATTGAGTAATATGTATTGCAACAAAATATATGATGATAATTACCTCGATCATCGAATCCATGGATCATTTCATGTCCAATAATTGATCCAATGCTACCAAAATTCACCGCCCTGAAACAGAAAGTTATAATGTTGATGCAAGCAGATATAGGCCATAACATCTCGAAAGATGAAAATCGCTAAATAATTAAGTAGTGTTTTTCTCTTCCTTTATTGTGTGAGTTGTAAAATTTGGATGAGAAATTTCGAAATATGTGGAATGCTTTATGAAATATAAACTGAATGAGAAAATCTCACTTCGGGAAAGTTCGATCAAAAAATGGTGCTTGAAGAATGGCTGCCGGAAATACTGAAATTAAGTAAAAATGAGATTTCTAATTAAAATGAGGGTTTTTGACTTTTGTATTTATGCTGTATGTAATCCAAATTGAATTTTAGTTTTTTTTTCTAATATTGGCTTCAGGAAATTAGGAATGTAGCAAGAACAGGTTTATTTTCTGGCTCAAGAATTAGAAAATTACTCTATGCATTGTCATACACCCCAGAGTGCAAGAAGTTCTAGAAACAATTTCATTAATGATATTTCATTTTCCAACATTAGATTTGAGGAATCTAGAAATAAAATTAAGCAAACAGAATGGACTAACCAATAGCATTTTTAAGCGATGAATAAAACGCATTCACGATGGACGCTGGGGCACCAAATTCCGTCCTCTTGACAGGTTTGACTAATTTTCGATATGACTGTTCCATCGACCATCGTGATGTCTTTGTTATAATTTGGTCAAACGTATCATTGGGATAAATATGCAACTGTAAAATACAAATTCTCACAACCGTTTTATACAAATGTCGTATTTACAGTTTTTGTCTGCAGATCTAACAATTGTGGGGAAAAAAAATTCAAAAATAGCTGCTATAAAGAAAATGTAGTTACGTACTAGCTTATAGTATTCATCGAGATCTTTGATATCTCTGATGAATTCTGGATAGCCGACCAAACTTAGCATCTCATTGATCTTTTTTAATGCCTTCTGTCGAGTACTTTCATATATCCAATTGTATTCTTCCAGCATTTCTTCGAAGGCACCCTTCAAAAGGCTCACCATTTCGAGTGCTTCTTGTTTGTCTGCCTAAAATACATATGAATCTTATAATAAAGTAAGCAGGCAAAGAGATTTTAACAAAATACAAAGTTTAAGAAGTGATATTATCATTTTGAAACCACACTTCATTGAAGAAGGACTTGACATATAAAGCTCCTGAAGCATAACCCATTCGTTCTACAGCTATTTGACTGCAAACCTTCCATCGTGGTGACTTCATATGTTTTCCAATGATAGCGCGAAGGAACTCCTGAAAATTTTTTTTCAACTTAATTCTGGTATATATTACATTAGTGGCAATATTTTCGTCATTGTATTTGAAGTTTGTTAAGATGACGATGCTATTTAGTTTGTAATCAGTTGGTGGATGTTAAGATCCTCGATACCTCAAATTATTATGCTAAATTCTACTCTTGAATTCATTAAACTGCCCCTATTTTGCTAAAAGATTCCTTTTTCTTCCTGTCTTGAAATTACCTGATGAATGTCATCATATCGTTCATCCAGTTGAAAATTCCATGTCGATGTATAAAGCCATATCATATAGTTTGCCAGCGTTCGTTTAGGTGTTACCTGAAATTTTCTATTTTTCTCACGGTAAGTTTTCAGTTAGATGAATCTGATAGTACTGCTATTTAGAGATATTAAACTTGAAATCGAAGTGAAAAAATTGCTTCTTGCAATCACTACTAATTGTCTCTTGTCGTATGCTGTTATGAATTCATTTTAATTTTAATATTTTAATATCAGTTGTCCATCATTCTCATTCACCGCTAATCACTTTAAACAAACGGTTATATTTTTCGTTCTTTAACAAGTGTATTTTATTTTTACAAAAGGACATGTATGCCTTTATCAGTTCGTCAAGTTGTTTCAAGAATTTCACGTCAATGACATTGATGACTGGATCTTCATTCAGATACCAATGTAAATCAGGAGGAACCACAGATCGGAAGTACTTGTTCCAGTTCATCTAAAAACTAAACTTGTTTAGAACAATGGTCTTCATTGTCCTTTTTTAAGCAATTAACCACATTTCTCAACCATTAGCAAACTAAATAAAATGATTTTTTCCTGTCTACTTGCACTTTTTATTTTTATTCGTTCTCATTTGTTTCCACAACCACTGATATTAAATGTTGAATATCGCATAGCGCAAATGTATCAACAACCATATTGATGGCTAATTATTATGAACTAATAATATGAACATTTTATTCTACCCAGACAAGATTCTGCAAAGGACAAAATTCGTTATTGGTGAGCGAATTTACTGGAGTGAATTGAGACCAAATACAGCCAAATTTAATTTGTCGGCCAATTAACCTTTGCTCATTTGAAATTCTCAAAATGCAAATATTGGAGCATAATGAATTAAAATGATAGGAAACAATAAATACTTTTCTGCATGAAATTCAAAATCGTTAACCTTCGACATAAAGACAGGCAGGTTACTGAGATGATATTGATGGTAGAGCAAAGTATAGTTCCTTCTATTCTCCTCTGGAACCATAATCTGTAAAATGTAACGTGGATTTCTATAAAATATAAAATATAAACATGAATTTACTCCTTTATTTCTGTACATGAATTTTCAGAAAAAAAATTTCGCAAAGAAAAAAGATCTATGAACAAAGAAAGAAGTAAACCTGAGCAAGTTTCTTCTCAAAATTGATGATATCGTCAGCTTCTTTTCCAATTTCAGTTCGTTTCTTCAATATTCCAGCATCATGTGAGATTAGCATTGCCTGAATTTAATATATGTATAGTCTGTAAAGCGTTCAGGCAAATTTCATACACATTTGAAAAAGCATAAAATCTGTTGAGGCAGTATACATTGCACAGTTACTCAAACTTATTTTAAAAAAATTAAGAAGAAAATTCTTAACAAAATCAGCTTTTCAAAATTACTTTATCAATAACATATTTCCTATAAGCTTTCAATTGCGCTGCATAATTCTTCTCATTCAAGTAATATTCTCTAGCACCAAAACCAAGTGCGAGTCTTCCTTGATCAATCTGAAAAATGAATATTTGAAAATTTCATTTATATATCTTCCCAAAACTTTTTTGATCTCGGCATAAATTCATTTGAAACTGCAATTTTTAGTCTCGGAATTTCGAAATTAAAAGCCACAAACGAGTTTACACATATTTTTTTTCATTCATTTAGAGTAGAGGTTTTTTATCAGTCAAATGCGGTAAAAATATTTCTGTTATTTAATCGATGACAAATTTTGCTTCTGAAAAAATGTTGATGAAAATATTACACTATCAAAAAATATTAAGACAACAACTTCATACTGTCATCTTCCCACTACTTTGAGAAAGAAGAATACGCTCAAATCATTCGAAACATCAGCACATCCGAAAATTCGATGTACATCGCGAATAACTTTTTGAACTTTTACGAACCGTCCAATATATAAAAAGTCCAATCGAGTCTCGTCGTAGGCCTGTCCAAAAAAAGGAAAAGAAAAGGATTTATTTACGTGAATTAAACGCCTTGAAACATTCTTTTGATCAGATGACACATAGATGTTCATAAAAATGCCAGAAGATCGCGTCTGCGCAATTCGAATCATTGTTTCCGTAAAATCGAACTTCTCTTCGGACCATTTGTGTCCATATACTATTGGCCAAGCACCAAGGTACTAAAAAAATTCGATGTAATTATAGAGTAACATAGTGTCAAAATCAAATTCAAGAAATTGAATACTCTGAAATTGTCCATATCCCGGATATTCTGGGATTATTTAGGTAATTTCCAAACATACGTTTAACTTCGAACAATATTACAAGAATATTGTAGACAGCTTTTCTCGAACTTTTGGATAATGGACTTCTCTTTCTTTATCATTCAATAATCATCTCGAGATTTTCATCTCAGCCACAAAATTTCCTATTTCGAGCATATGTATCATTCGATACGGTTCAACTTGGCTTACAAAATACGGTAACGAAAATGAAATGAACCTCAATGGTCTCAACAATTTCTCGTCCTTGCATACTGTTTAGTCGATCAGTATCCATACAAGCTTGATATATTGTTTTCACCGCATCCATTGCTTTCGAATTCGTCGATTGTTTTGAATCATAAAGTTCTGAAAATATCGTATCAGTTAGTAGAAGTGAGCCTGGTGGGACTGCCAACAGTACAAATCTAGTCATGATGTTCCAGGCTTATGGACCACATCCAAAGTCCTTCATAATGATTTGTCAAATTGTACTATGTTAGAAAGAACAAATGATGTCATTGATTGCAATTTTTGCGGCATAAAATCAGTTGGCAGTACCTTTCATTTTGCGCGCTACTTTCTCACGAACCAATTGAGAGACCTCGTATGTACCAAGGTCACTCGGAATCGGATGCTCAGCTATCCAACGTCCACAGGCATATTCAAAAAAATCATCACATGGATTGACGGTCCGATTCATTGACGAAAGCAAATAATAAGCTGCTTTTATATAACCTGGCGAAGTACCGACTTCCACATTCTTCACTATATTCGGCATTTCTATATATAAATCACTTGACTCAGTTTACACAAATGCTCATCTTCCACATTTCAGGATTACTTGAGTATATTTCAGTATTTTTTAACACATACAAAAATTTGAACATCTGCTGATTGACAGAGGATCCAAAAAGAAAAACGAAAGTTTTTAAATACGAAAACATCTGATAATTCGCAACGAAACAATCCATCATTGAGAATGGATAGGTAAAAGTTTATGGAAGTGTACAAACCCACTTTCTTTTGAATTTTGATAAAAATTAGAAGTTTCAGAAGCAGGCCTACCGCTTATTGTCGGATGTGGCAGTGAGGAACTGGAGAAAACAATTGTGAGATATATTGCCGAAAAATAATGAATGCTTAACATAACTTCCGCAGTTACTTCTTGTGAACAGTAGAGTTTGTTTTTTGAAGGTTCAGTAACAGACCCTAGAAAATATTTTCAAGGAACCGTTTTGGTAGTTTGGACGTTTTTTTAATTATACAAATATGAAAACGGATGAAGGTAGTTTAACTTGTTTAACTCATCATAAAATAGTTCCTAACAATAAATAATTTGAGAATTATTCATAAATGTAACAATTAGATTCATATACGGATATGAAGGAAATCGAATTTCGATCATGCTAGAGTTACGGAAAAGTTGATGCACCGACTACCGAGCATTCGCAGATGATTTTCTTACCAGTTAATCCATATTTAAACAACTCCAAAAAGGAAGGAACTTTCGGAGACAACAAAAGAATCGATTAAAGTGTAAAAATGATGAATTAGTTGTAGACTAACGAACTTCTTGGTCCATGTACTTGACTAAGTACTATTCGTTGCTTTTTTCCCATCAAAATGCATCAATGCATTGAATTCTGTAGCAGAATATGATGTTATAAAATCAGAAAGATGCCAGTGTGAAGTCACAAGAAGTAAGCAGTTCCAGTTTCCTTGTTTAGTTACGGTAAGTCATGCTTTAGTTACGAGTTAATAAAATATTTTTTTGTAAGGCAACAGTTGAGCAAGTAATGGTGTTCGCTGAACGGAAGTCCATAGTGTCATTTCCTGAGAAATTTAACAGTGTCCTGATCACGTCGATAAGACATCAAAAAGTGCTTTAAGGCCCACGCCAATTGCTTTTTGGAATGAGTAATTCGTTATCTGAAATAAACAAGTTAAACAGAATAATTTTTACTTACAAAATTTGTTCAAAATCAAAAATGGCAGGTAACTGCTTCTATCAATATCCCTATAAAAGAGCATTTATTTAATTAGGCTGCGAAGTAATGAATATTAAAATGGTAAAGACATTTGGCTAATTCTGGTAAATCTCAAAAATTTAAATATTCTGGTAAGTATTAATCTTACTAGTCAATTTCCATTTCACGCATAAGCAATAGAGTAACAATTCAAATTTAATGACATTTCGAAAACAGAACTTCTTGATGAGATTGTCTGCAAATAATTTGATCAACTTATCTGTCTCGTTATTCACAAATTTATTCTTCAATGTTATTGAAATAAACGTAAAAATTGAATTCATTTCAAATCTATAAATGTTAGAATCATAGGTTAGAACGTAGTGTAAAATTAGAAATGTCAATATGTTGAAAGATCGGATTGTTGGGATTAAAATTAAAATTAGGATTGTTAAGGCTTACCGTCAAAGCTTACTGTCGAAAAATCACCACTAAGGGTTAATGTTATGTTATATATCAGAAAATAAGACTGAAAATTTTGTCGTTTTATAAACGGTATCAGATTCATGATCTTGAGGTCCATATAAAAATGAATAATGGCGATTAGTTGGTTGAGATCAGTTCCAGAAAAAATAAGAAACCTAGAAGCATATGGCTTGAAAAGCATAGACTTCAGACAAAATCATGCCACTAAGTTCATCGGGAATGTGGCACGAATTCGATTCGAGGCACAAAATACAAGGTCAATAAAAATCAAGAAGCCATAAATTACTCAACTTCGGAAATCCTTAGAAGTTCCCATCCAAAAATTTAAAACAGAGGATATGTACTTTATTACATCACATTAATGCAAGAGGAACTACCAGTTTTTTCTAAAAATCTGAGAAATGTTCGGGTAGACCAATTTGCCATTATTGGTACTGTAAAGTATCGTGAACAAAGACCGATAAGTGCGCACTATGCTCATACTGAAGTTATCAATCAACTAAAATTTAAAAAATTCTGGTTCCACTTAAATTTTTTAAACTTCTGGTTTCATAAATTCTAGTTTGAGCTAAATTTTTTTAAACTGAAAATTAAAGTGGAAAGTGCGTTCGGAAAAATATCATGATATGACAACTATAAGCATTTCACCATTGCTTTAAGACTTCTATTCTTTTCTGTCTTTGATCAGAGAAAGTTGGAACAAAATTCAAAGAGAGTGGAAAGAGACAGATCTTCAGCAGTTCAAAAATTAACTGGTTTCACGAATTCATACGATGAACAATAAGAACAAGAAGAAGACTACCTTAAATACATTCTTTTGCATATGCCAATATCTGGCTCTACCCATACCTTCAGCATTGAGGATCCGATCGAGCAAACCTTGTGGTAATGACAAACTTGTTACCATCCATTCCTTCTACCTTATCTACAGACCCAACTGTGTTTCATTTTGAATATATTATTCTGCAGAAACATTCATTACAAGTCTGACAGTTGTCTATCACTTCAAACTTATCTAAATAAAATACAAAATGGACTGGTAAGTTGACCGACATTTCTTAAATTAAATCACTCATTCTATCGATATTTTTCTTTTCACTTAAGTTCTTTTATGTTTTGTTGTCTTTTAATCCCCTTGACTATTTCATTTCTGCTACATTGTAGACTCATCTTAGCTTTTTAAAGTAGTCTCATATCTTTCTAAAGTAATCAATCAGTGAAAAAATAAGGATGCAATTTTAATTATGTGAAATAAACTGAATTATTCCATTCTCGTTCATTAGCTCTTTGAAAGCTGATTCACACTCTATTTGCATTTCTTAAAACCTTTCGATATTTTGTCAAATACAGTTTCAATACCGAACTTCCATTTTTTCTGGAGCTAGTTAATGTCGGGAACTTGTAACACTTATTTTTTATTTTAGATCCAAAATGAATATGAATGAAAACAAGCCGTAGTACTGAGGCAGTGAACAGCAACGCGCATCAATTTGAAGATCGATAATATCACAACACTAGACCATTTTATCAGATGACAATCATAGAGCTGTGATGCGAAGTGCATTCGTTCTTCAATGACTGGTAATTTATAATGTTCTTGAAGTATATTAGAAATAAAAATTGTACATAAAGCAGTAGCCATAATGAACAGTTTACTATTAACCACCGCAGTGATAAGCTTTAGAAATAGGTGAAATGAAGAGTAAAAGTTCGAGAAACAACTAATTCCATTATTCAATAATAACTAATTCTCTTACTAATCTTCGAAAGGAGTCTGTGATAATCAACGGCTATAAGCGTCTGATATGGCAATAATTCCAATAATTAGTAATTGAAAGCATTTTAAATTTTCAATGAAGCAAGTATTGGGAAGTTGTTGAAGGACTGTTTTGTCTGTGCTTATAGCTGCAATCATCCTTTTCATACATTGAAAACAGCAAATTTAAATGTTTTAGAACAGACGGTAAAAATTCCAAAACAACCGATCATCGCTTTGTTCCAGTGAACATTAACAAGCTTCGCATATAAACGTGATTGCCTCCTTTTTTAGGCTCGGACTGCCTTGGCTCCGTATAATGATTACTGATAATGAGATGTATATGAATTCCAAAATGCATATCATTTGTACTCATTAAATTCAAAATATTCCATGACAACTGAATCACATGTGAAAGTTGGATCGAATGTATCTCCGAATAGCATAACCATAAGGATTAGCAGTGAATGAAACACAAATGCATAAGGTGGTGAGAGCATCACCTGCTCTCACCACCTTATAGGAAATTAAAATTTCGAGTGATGAGATGGGATCGTACATCCCTTGCAGTTTTCAACTCCATAAGGTTTTATGGAAATTCTTGGCTTGACCGAGACTTATCAAAGTCTAAAATCAAAAAGGAAGGAAAATAGATAGATATTTGAACGTAAAAACTCCGACGAGATTTCCCGGTCTCATTGCTGACATGTTTCTTTCGCATGTACAGGAAGTCCCTCCTTCTCTTCATCTACCCCACTCTTTCTCCTCTCTACGTAACGACGATGTTTACAATTGTTCACATCCCTGCCCAACTCGCGAATTGTTAAGAGATGTCGTCCTGACGGCTGGATTAGAATTTTGTAAATTGGGATAGGCCTGTAATAAACTAGGAGATTATTGCATTGACAGTAATGTTAGAGGTCATTCCTCATGTTATCTCTATCGCATCTTATTTCGATGGTGACACAAATCTGCATCTTCTTATTATGCCACTATGTACATTACGATCGATCATTTCATTTTGTAACAGCAATCCTCAGTGTTGTGTTTAGCGATAAGTATTTTGGAATGATATTGCATAAGACGCGCTTGTACTCTGCATTGTCAACCTCCCCTGTGACAAGTAGTAGGTAAAGAGTTATTTTCCCAAATTAAAATTTCGTTCAGGAATTCTGGATGGGAGCAAAGATTAGCAGTGAAACATTAATTGAAGAGAATGCGTATTTACGACGTTTCGTTGGTTTGCAACCGATCACTAATAATGACCCATTCTGGAATCACTTCCTTTCCTTCAATTTCCTCATCGATTCCAATGACAGGTTCCTCTTTTCGTTGTTATTAAGCACTGTATGGAACGAACTGATTGTTGTAAATGTAAGATGCTGAATGTTCGAAAAATAAGATTGCTTTCATTATTCCCAATGAAGCACGCACTTCAGTTAATTCAAACCAGTGATCCTTCCAAAGCTATACTTCTCTTCTACTGAGAGTCAAATGTTAAGTCTGTATTTAGTACAAAAGAGTTTTAATCCTTTTCGTTCGTAGTGCTTTTAATGTTATTTTGTCGCTAACACTTTTTCTGATTTAAAGAAAGGAAGTGGAGCAATTTGATATTTCTTTGTCGGATAGTCTCCAGACGCTGATGTATAATACACCAACAACATGTAATTTCGCGTCATTTATTGATGTCTTTCTCAGACGGACAGCAGAACTAAAAGCTTCAGAAATCTGCAACAAGTAAAGAAGTTTACTGCCACTCTTAAAATCAACTTTATCAAGAAATTATAATCTCTACTAGGATTTAGAGTCATCAATTTGTTTTCATTTGCTTTCCCTCTGCTTTTCGAGATATCACTGGAAAATAATGGAATCTTTTGATACTGTTGAGATACCTTTTGATTATGAAGCATTACATGATGCTTTACAGCACAATTTTTCTTTGGCAGACAGGAAATGCATTAATCATTCTTCGGCATATTTGCAAGTTTTTGGTTCAAAGACTTAGTGGAGCTGAATTCATCAATGTTTTTCATATGAATAAAACTTACTTGGAGAAGAAGGATGGTTGGTGATCTATTCTTTGCGCATCTTTCCACCTTTAAATATATCAAATCGTCCAGAAAGAGATTTAATTTAATTGCTTTTTTGCCAGCATTCTTTTTGTAATTCGTTTTTTCGACTTATTCAAGTGTAGAAACAAATTTATAATTAAGATCCACATTAGTTTCTCTTCAGCTTATGATTCTGATTTTGAAGAAGAATTTGATGGTTTATGTGAAGACAAAGCGGAAAAGTTTTTGAGCGCTCTGGTGGATATTTTGGTTGATTTACCTTCCAAGTAAATCACATTACTTTTTTTTTTAAAGCATCACCGTTGAAGAAAAATCTAAAAATAATTAATACGCCTTATATTTATCCTATATTTTTCTAGTGATTCCACAGAAATGATTCACGTCGAAGCTGTAAAATGTTTAATTGCCTTGCTCAGTTCGCAGCTTTATGACGATGACGTCATGAAATCAAATATTTTCTACGGATATCTGATACAAGGCAAATGGTTAGCCTTGCAATATTTCACTATAATTAAAGCTAAAGTTGTTCCCATTCAATAGAACTTTAAAAAAAGACATGTTTTTAGCTCAATGAGGTCTGTGGAGCTCACTCGAGTCTTAATATCAAATTATCTGCAGTGGAACACTCCATGCGTCTTTAAACATGAGAAAGAACCGGAAAGTATTGTTCTGGGCCTTGCAGGTTTGTTTGATTCCAACTTTCTTTTTATGTGTGAACGAATGCACACTGTTTATTGAAATCGTGACTTGTAGGCATTGCACAAATCCGTACTGGATAGTTGCTCTAGAATACATTCGTGAGTGAGGAATAAATTCACAAATATTCATGCTATTCGCGGCAGCACTAATTCCGTGAACATTACTTATAAAAGAACTCTGCTTATTTAAGCATCTGTTTGGTCAGCAGTACAAATTGTTACGGGTATGGACGATTCAAATTCAGTTGGCAGTGATAGCGAAATTGCACCACCAGTCTCTCTTGGGTCGTTATCTGTACTTTTTCTACTTAACTTAGCATGCCATCAAGATCCAGGAGCAAAGCTAAATCCTTATAAGGAATCGCTTTCGAAATTTCAAAATTCACAAGGTAATCTAATAATTTTTTCGGATTTGGCATGATTGTCACATTAATGTTACGCACTGTAAAGTTTAAATGGAGTTGTTAACTACTAAATTCAACTCTGATGGTGTTTGAAGTTCTGAACCTCTCAAAAATTTGTAAAATTGATGCATCTTTTATGGAATCTGCAGTTGTTGTTGTTGTTATCAAGATTTCGAATAATTACTACTGATTGATTTTGTTCGGTAATTTTAACTGATGCAGTATTTGGGAAATTAGTTCACCACGACGTTTGGCAGGTCCTTCCAGATCGTATGGTGGGTATATATGTTCAGCTTATAACTTTATGCTGAACTTTGATGATGGTCGTCTTCTGCCAGCGACTAACCGTTATCAAATTCAAATTTTTCTCTCACTAATTAATATGGCGATTGCTAATTTACAGAAGTTTCGTCGCTGAACAATAGTGAAGCTGGTACATTCAAGTTGGATTATAGTTTGTTATACGAACGCTTATGCGCTACAGTAAATCAACAGTCGCCCATGTTATTTCTGTATATATTATTGCATAGGAACATTGGCTTTCGAAATTATGTTCTTTCAAGAATCAATTTAGAAAAATTGGTAGATTTTTGGGTGTAGTTAACAAAGTTGATGATTGTAAAAATATATTGGGTCAGCGTTTCATTTTTTAATTGAACGGTTCTTAATTTTTAAAATTTAATCTGATGTTGGGATGCTATGGTATTGCTTCTTATTGCTGTGGTTGCTTCATTAATTAGGAATTCGTTTGTTTTAGGTACTTCCGGTACTGATTGTCCTTAATGATGGAGCCCAGAGCAGTGGTATAATTAATTCATATAATGCGCATCATGTATATTTAGCACTTATTGTTATTCTGATTCTTAGCGAAGACGACTTTTTCTGTAAAGTTGCCCATGAAACGGTGAGCATAATTATTTTGCAGCGACTTTAGCACAGCTGGGTTACCAGTGGTATCAACACTGGTGATTGTATGTGGTAAGATTTTGAAAAAGGATTCATGGCTTTCTTTTTATATTTATTTACCACTTTTTTCGTTTAATTTTCAAAGAAATTTACAGATGATAAAGGATACAACATGGTTCAATAGTGAACGTCCATTAGGAGAGATTTCATTGGGTGGTTTGATTATCTTGGTTTTTGTCCGTATTATACAGCTCAACACTTTAAAAACAAAGGTTTTAATTAGTTAAAAATCAATTTAGCATCAATTTAACGTATAACATTTCTTGAAGATCCAGTAAGTTTTGTTTATCTTTTTTGTTCTACTGATATTAGGTAAGTCTCTTCTGCATGTGTTGTAAACAAAATATATCGTTCTCTTAGATTTCTTTATTACGTTATCCACTCATCCTACTTTAAAGCATTGCTTCAGTTCTTTGAAATTAGACCAGTTTTTTTCCCGAGGGAGAAAGCATAGATATAATACTGCAGAAAAAATACTTTTTGTTCAACGTCATTCCCTATTGCTTCCTGTCTGTTTTCACTAATTTAACAATTTTCCAAGTTTCATTCAAATATCTTGTAATATTTATTGCATTGATTTTTGCAGGATCGTTATCTGCATACAAATTGTCTTGCAGCTTTAGCTAATATGTCGTCTTATTTCAAAAATCTCACTTCTGTTGTTTGTCAAAAACTGATTGGATTGCTTGAGGTACAAATTTTTTGAATAAAATTTTTCATAAAATTAACTCCTAGAACTTTTTTGGATTTTTTTGCTAGTGATTCTTGCTTGAATAATGCAAATCATGAGATCGTTAATTTACAGTCGCACCATTCTTGTCCTTTATTTTTTTCAGACTCTATGAAGTATGAGTGATTAATTTGCCACAACGAATTCATCTGTTTTGTTCATTCTTAGTGATTATATGAATCCTGGCTCCATAGTTCAATCGAATACATTTGGACAAGGCTCATTTTCAATTTCTTAGCAGGTGTTGCGATAACCTAACATGAATACTAACTTTTTTTAGGTTTTTACTCGACGACGTGCAAAACTGATTGAAAATATGCGCGTCAGGGCTGAATATGATATTGTACAAGGAAAAGAGTCGCATAATTATGTAAATTTTCTGCATAATTTTCACTTGGTCTTTCATCCATAAATTATTGGCATAGTTTTATTTTATATATCAAATGTTTTGTAGCATAAGGACATAACGGCTCTTGAAGAAGGTATACGCACTTTGCTCGAAATTTGCAACAGTTGCCTTACTTCAAATCTTCGTTCAAATCCACACTTCATTTATACCATACTTTATAAACGTGATGTGTTTGATGCTTTTCAAAATCATCCGATGTTCCAAGATCTGATTTGGAATATTTGTACGGTAAGAAAATATTTTGCATCTTTTTAGATTGATTACAAATTGTTTGAGCAGTGTGTAGATATGGGTGAAAAAGCGCTGCACATTTAAAATTTGGCTAATTCACATCAGAGAAAATTCCGCTTTTTAATACTTCAATTTTACTTTTAAACTGTCTCATAATCTTTTATAGTTTTTGATTCTAAACTACGAAACATGTCGGTTGTTCTCTTATCATCCATTAGTTTTAGGTTATCAGTCACTTTGCATCACGAGTACAACTTTTGGAAAGGGGATCATCGGTGAGCGCTGTTCTTGCTACAATCAAGAAAGGAGCACTCCACTGGCCTACGGATAGGTTCGTTTGTTTTTTTTGTTCATATTACATGAGTTCTTTTTAAGTACGTGCTGATTTCTGTTTCTGCAGATTTACAAAAGCGTTTTTTGGTTGCGTTTCATAAATTTCAAATTTTTCATAAACTTTTACCGAAAGGGGATTGTAATGAAATATCATTTAAAACGTGCGTATATTTAATTTTTTAAATCCTGCGCAGATAAGATCATTTTGCTTTAAATTTTGCTTTGTACAGTTTTCTTGCGATGTCTAGTAGTTATAGTTTTATAGATCATAGTCAGTTCAAATTTGGTGTATAAAAGCTGGATGTATTTTGTCACTGTAAAGCTTTAAGAGGTCCTGCAGCTTTTTAGAAATTAGTTTTTCTTCAGGCTGAAAAAGTTTCCTGAATTGAAATTCAAATATGTGGAAGATGACAATACCGTGGAATTTTTTGTTCCATATGTTTGGCGATTAACATTCCAGTTCTCAACATTGTACTGGGATGCAACACGTATACGTCTTTTTAATACTTCTTTCCTTGCGTAATGTCACCAGTTTTTTATCACTTGTAAATCAATTTTTTATAAGCGCAACTAGATTTTCCTTAAGAAATGCGAAGATTGCTTGTGAAATTATCGGCACAAACAGTTCGCTTGAAAAGCTTGCGTTTTTTTGTTGATATAGTGACCTATTTTCTAACTTCATTTGCTATCTAAAATATCATTTTTAGTTTTTGTTACGCAACAAACAAACTACTTATTTCCATTTGCCGTTAGTGAATTGTTTCATTAACCAAGGAAACTTCGTTTTACTATATTTATGTCGGAAAATTGTATATACTTTTGTATTTATAGTTTTTTAATAACGAATTCGACTTGAAACAGCATAAAGACTTAGTGTAGGAGCACTTTAATATATTTTATTATACTTATATCCACTCACTCAGAGACATTCGAGTGCTTGATATTAGATTAGTCTCCAAAAAACCGTGCAGTTCTCTGAGAGTATTTTTGAACTGCTCTTGTCAGAATAGATCTTTTTTAAGTAGTCCACAATTTTTTTTTTGTTTTAGTGATTGAGTGTAAAGTTACTTTCAAGTTATTTCGGTCTGGTTTGTTCCGTTCATCTTTGTTATATTTTGAATGTGGTCTACCAGTATGCAAATAAATGGTGAGGCATAAGCTATGCATTGTTGTCCCCATCTTATCAGTAATTTATTCGGCTAAAAATAAAATTTGACTTGTACTGTATTTAAGAAATAAGTTTTCCCTGAGTGCTTTTTTTGTTTTAACAGTTTTCTTTACAGAAACCTTGAGATGTTTCAAGTTACAATAGATTTTAGTTTAATTTATGTTTTACAATCCTTTTGAAAGAGGTTTAATGATAATTCTAGAAGAATGATAGGTAGCTGTTGTGAAGTATCTGGTACTTAGTTTCTTGATTTCGATTCTCCTGTCATACAACCAGTTAGCTTGTACGGAATAGCAAATTACAAAGGTATTATCGCGGATCAGATCTTTTTTTTTGAATAATAACACTAAGGAGTTTAGCTGATATAGGGGAATTATTTTCCGTTTACTAAATCTGTTATTTATTCCTTCAATATATAGACAAAAGTGCGAGATAAATAGTAACATTTTACACGAACTGCTTTTACGACATTGCTGTTACTGGCTGCTATTTAACAGAGATTTCATTTCACATTTCAGAGGCTGCGGTTTAACTTTTAATGGAACGGTGGGTCTTCATTATGAATGCAGAATGCGTAAATGTTCAATTCAATTCCCAAGCAGTTCAATCCCTACCCAACTGTTTTTGAACTTCATTCAAAAAACGATTTATTTTTTATAGGAAAATCAACTGTTAAAAGATACCGGTTTCCTAGCAATTTGACATTGAAACACTATTGGAATTCTGCGAAAAGCTCGGGTGATTTTGTTTGTGTACTTTGCAGGAAACTCATTTGTGACTTGATTCAGTCCGGTGGTAGCGTGATTCTTGTAAATTTATAAGTGATGTGGAAGACAAGGGAAGACATTGATGCAGGCAAACAGGAAAGCGGAAGAAGTTCGCCCTCCACTATGCTATTTGACCTTGTGATTGGACCTACTTGGCGTCAATTAAATGCTCGGTAACTGAGCAGCAAACAGTGATGGATATGCCATTTTCACACTTTTAAATGCATTCATGGAATGCAGCACTGCCTCTCTTGACATACATCTGTAAATAACATTAATTTTTATCTCCTTTGTGCATTTTTGTGGTGTAAATTTTTAACTTGCTGTTATTTTTCATGTTTGTCGCTATTTCAATCTCTTCTTACTGACATATTTTAAAGTCTGAAATGGAATAGGATTTATATGCATTAGGCAGAGAGGATTGCTTAAACGATTGTCAACAATGGTTCTCGCAAAAGTCAATCCAAATTTTTAAGTCTTATCCATGAATGCTAGTTTCTGTCTATAACGTTATACGAAAATACTCTCACTAATAGTGAGTTATGCCGCTCCTTGATTTTAAAAACAGTTATTTGATAGAAGTTTCCTTTTTTAAAATTAGATTTATTCTTGAACGGTAATTAGGTTTATTCATTTATTGAATATAATGTCAACAAAAAAGTTTGAAAAGTAATCATTTTCTCGTTAATCCCTTCTTTTTTATTTTTCTAAGCAAAGTAGGCTAGGATTACTTAAGTGATTGCCCATTAATATTTGTTAATTGTATCTGGATAAGCCGATCGAAAGTGAAACGCAAAGCGTCCTTACTTTTTCTAATGCTTTCGTCCTTGACATCTTTGTTTGCTATTTACCCTGCAATCTACAATAGATAGACAGGGTGTTAAGTAGTTGTAATGCTAGTTGATGAGCAAAATAAAATTCCCAATATATGGAAGTGGAAGCAGACGACAGTTCTTTGAGCAACTCGTGAAAAATAATTGTAAACTGGTCTATTTCCCTGTGATTGATTTTTTCTTCAGATCATTATGTTTTTTTTCTTTTTGTTTTCATTTATTTGGAAGGGTTACCTATAATCTTCATTAAATTACTTATTTGGTAGTAACTGTTGTTCACGTGCCTCAAAAATTGTTCAAGGTTTTAACTGATAATGATTTGATTACGTGGAGCAGTAACGAGCATTGTGTTTTCGGAAATATCGAATAGTAAACTGGAATTGAAACTTGGGTCTTCTTTGAGGTCGAAATTACCTTGCCTATGATCTTTGTAATTACAGATGTTTGATCTGTTTCATTCAGCATTATACTGGGTGCTGAAGACGTACGTCATTTATCGCATCGTCAGGACAGCTGTGGCTTTTTGGTCAACTATTGCAATATATGTCATCGCTCCGCTATTTTATAAGCCTAATTTTGATCCATACAAAGGGCGATGGACAGGTTAACTATTATCACAACTGTTTCTTAAGAACCTAAATTTCAACTTATTTCGGATTGTGCAAATACATTTAAACACCTTACTTTCTACTTGTTGCTATGAAATATGATCTCTTCCCCACTATGATTTTATTTTTGCGCCTATTTTCCCATTTAATACTATTTTTTACGAAATGAAACCAAATATGGGCGTACCGAACATACAAATTTGGCCTCTAATGTTTTCATTTGCCACATGGTATATGTATTCACTGAGCATGTTGAATTAATGCTTTTCATTGTTTTAAAAACTCAATTTTACAGTTGTTACTGGTGGGACAGACGGTATTGGAAAGGCGTACACAATCGAGTTGGCTAGAAATGGACTGCGAAAATTTGTGCTTATTGGTCGAAATGAAATAAAACTACAAGATATGAAAACTTATTTAGGTAGGAATAATTCGAAGTTGATCAATCCTCCTTAAAGTTTCAATTTGGCAAGCAAGCGGTTTCAAATTCTTGGCATCTTTTCGCAAAGTATTTTCGAAAATATTTCTAGTGATTTGTCATTCTAAATAAGGATTTTCTGCTTAATTACTTGGTATAAATTATTTCTCAATTTCTGATGACAAAAATATTTTTTTTTCCTTTTGATATAAGCTGTTGTTTTCATCGTCCATCCCACACTGATTATCATTCACCATTTTGAAACTATTGCCGACAGCGACATAATGAATTAGTTGTACTTCCACCTTTTATTGGATATCTTTTAAAGAAGTTTCCAAATTTCCATTAACACGCATCATTATTAATAGAGCAAATGAAAAGTTTGAATGAAAAATGAAATGAATCAAATGCTGTATATCATTAAAAGAGTTTGACAAGTTATTTCGCAGATGTTTATTCTTGCATATAAACACCATCTTCTAGAGGGCAAATTTGGTGCTCGTGTCCAGACATATTTGTTCGATTTCTACGATGGTGATTATACTGAGATGAGAAAATTTGTTGAGGATATCGATGTTGGTTTTGTCTGTAAGCATTTGTTATATTCCCAAGAATTCTACAAAACTTTTCAATATTAATACTGAAAATAGTTGAATTAGTCTAATTCGTCTGTTTTTGAGGCATGTTGACGTTTTTTCTTCCATAATGAAATTCAAGCATATTTTAACGGCATGAAATGACTTTCTGCGCTAGTGGTAAAACTGTTGAAATACAATTGTTTGTAGTAAATAGTGTTGGTGTTGGACGAGATCGGATGGAGCGATATGGCGATAATCCAGAAGCTGATCGCAGATTGCTTAAAGTGAATGGATTAGGTGCCGCTGAAGTAAGGTTACCACTGCTCTTTATAAAATTTGTGGAATTGATTATTATTAGGATTTTGCTGTCTTTGTGCATTTAACCCTGATATGCGCGATTGTTAGGTTTTTTCTTTGTTTCATGGTGAGGTTAATGGTAGTTTTCATTTATAATGATTTAGCGAAGGCACATTTGTATTTGAAATAAAAGCTTTAATATAATATGTGATAAACTAAATTATGTTTTAGTTCTTGTCAATAGTTCTACCTACAATGGAAAAGAATGGTGGTGGACAGATTGTTGTCTTGTCATCTTGCCAAAGCTTTAGACCTTTTCCGTACGTCGCATCTTACTGTGCCTCAAAAGTAGGTGTTTCAGAAATTGTCACAGTCTTTTATCATTTTAACTTTTTTATCCTATCACTTCGGTTTTTCTTATTTTTGCTTATTGATGAGAAGTTTTCGTACGAAAATTTCAGGTTATGTTATCGTTTTTGTGTGAAGCAATAGATCGCGAGTGGCCCACAGTGAGAGTTCAGTGTTTGACACCTGCGCTTGTAGCAACAAAAATGACGCATTATGATAACAACTATAAGTCGTTGTTCGTGAAAAATGCGAATGATTTCGCAAAAGAAGCTATCAATACAATTGGCCTGACGAGTATGACAAGCGGATGTCTTAATCATGAATTGCAGGTAATCACTAACTCAAACTATTTATTACTTATGAATAGGATATGGTGAGTTCAAAATTTTCCAACAAATCAGGTGAAGAACACTTTTCTGTACAGAAAAAATGGAAAAAAAAATTGGCCAAAATCTTTTTTGTCCAATTTCATATTCGTTGTTGGAATGACTGCCTCATGAAATTTGTTATTTTTGTGCAAAGGGGCAAGATATTTCTCCTCTCAAAATTATCAATTCTAGATGTTAATGCGACATATGTTCCCATGGACCCTATTGAAATATATACTGCTACCGATTTACTGGTACCATAAACGAAGGACTGATACACCCCAAGACATTCATGCAGTCACAGCCGACAACAAAAAGGTTTCATTTTACTGGGTTTTATTTTGATACTATGCTTTTTGATTACTTCATTCATTATTTAAATGGAGTTTATGACAAGTAGACTTGGAAAAATAGCACAATCGTTATCCAATCAGGTTGCATCACATTCTGGTGCTTTCAGTCCTCCTTCGATCATTTTTGTACCCCTATTAAGTATTTCTTATCTCCCCTTTCTCATATGGGCCTTTACTTAATAGTTTTACTCACTAACCATAATACTGACCATGCCTATATCTATTCCTTTCAAAAAGAGAACAGCGGAAATACAATCTTTTGGCATTCAAGTTAGAGCCGTCATTTTCTATGTTTTTAAAAAATATTTTTTTGACTGAATTATAAATTTGTTGTTCATTTATGTAAATGCGATCTTCATAGATCTTTTTAAAGTTTCTTTGCAGGTTTATTAACTGCCAAGATCGAATATGGTATAATGCAATAAACATACATAGCTTCTCACTTTTACCTGCGGCGATTTTTTGAGAATCATGTGTCAGTAAACATCATCACCATTTCCCTGAATTCAAAAGTTAATCCAGAGAAAGTCATCGGTAGAAAATATTTTGCTTCAGATTTATAATCATTGAAATCAAGGAACTTCTTCTATATATATTCTTTATATGTAAAACAGAATAATTCTAAACTACCTCTTTGAATGAAGAAAATTACCTTCAGCCACTTCTGTGAATTTAATAAGATGAACTCGGATACCTTTCTGCACGAAACAAATATCCTCCAATAATCAGAGTCTTGGATTGCCTCTTGGCTATCTTTTTAAAATTGATGTTTTTGGTTTCATTCACCTCATTCTGATGCTTCGTTATGTACTTTGTTGTTGTTTCGAGTAATTTTTGAAATTGAAGTTTCTTGACACTTTTGAAATTGCCCGATAAAAGAAGCGATCAAAATAAATGAGGGAGAAAGTGGGAGGAGGAGGAGGAGGAGGAAAACATTAATATCATACTGAAAAGACATAAGGTATTTTCAAGGTAAATATCGTAAATATTCTGTGATCTTCAGATCATAACACCCATTACTTTAATCACGATTAAGTTTTATCTGTGATGCTAACATGGATTGGATATTCAGGTTAAACAAGGTGTAACAAATAATGAGTACAGAAATACAGTATAAGTGGTACAGCTGTGACTGTGATGGAATTGATTAAAATTGATAAGATCTGATAGCTCCTAAAGGCAAGATCAATAAACATAGAGAGGATATTTACTCAGCCATATATGATTACGAATATGTACTGAAAAGCACCTTGGATTAGAAAATCCCCGCAAAATTTTGTGCTTTTAGGAACAAGCAGATATAAAAGCTATTAAGCAATTAATTTGCCAAAAGATTAATTAATGCCTCACTGCATAGATATGTCCGGAATTCTCACATCGCAGTTCGTTCCTGTCGAAAATTCAGGGGACTGATACTTGCCCTTTTTACAACAACATTTTCTTGGGGGATAAATAAAATTAGGAAATCTTTTGTATCAGCACTGCAAGTGAATAATTATAGCATAGCAAGCACCGAATTACAGGAAGGATTTGAAATGTTTCATTTCCCGTTAAAGTGTGTTACTTACTTCCGTAGACTGATAACTTCTAAAGAATTGTAATCCTTAATGTTTTATCAAATTTCACTTTAACTTCTCCTGCATAATTTTCCATTTTAAATGGAAGTGTGACACTTTTCTGTTTAATAAACGCTGAGATTTATGTACAAGAGAACACCTCTGCTAATTTCTTAAGTTCGTCGAAGCAACTGAAAAAGGATTATCCATCATAATCCTATTGCCCGTATCCTTCTGAAAACAATGCTTAAGATCAGTTCTCATGGGACGACGTCATGACTCCATCTACGGTCAGTATATGGTAATACTGAATAATTAGCACAGCAAGAAAAGTTTCCTATTACCTATATAAGCTTCTGAACTTTTGAACGTCAAAGTGGGTGCTTTTCTGGAATTCTTATAAATGATTCTTCAAGTCAGTTAACCAAGAAAATATTACAAAAAATATTGCTATTTCTAACAAATATACTTTTGCAATATCTTTAAGATCTACTGAAATCCAGTACTTAACAGCGGCGAGGAATTTGTTTCATAATTTAAAACAATTTTTGTTTGAGCTGCAGAAATTTTTATATAAAATTGTTTGAAACCTAAAAGCAAACATTTATTTTTAATTCATAATTTTGAAATTTTCTAATGATTATCAGCTGTGTCTAAACTTAGCTTAAACTAATTGTCTTCTTAATTGCCCTGTACAGATAATGTCAGTTCTTTGCATCATTCGTTTTTACTAAATTTCTTTCAAAAGATTGGCGCACATTGCACTGAATAAATGAGCAATCCTTGTTCAGTTATAAACGTTTCAAGCAAAGAAGAAAAGTGTATTAGCGACGTTAACATACTTTGGAATTATTTTATAGAAAATTTTCCAATGAAAATCAAAAAACATATATCTTCATAAATACAAAAGGGGAAAGAAACATGAGTAATTTCACAGGATTTTCATTTTTGATTTTTATCCCATTGCTGTGTTTGGATGTGATTTCTCTACTTTGCTACTCATGTCTTGCATACTTCATTGATTCATCGACACCACCTGCTGTTTCACGATATTGCTTTACCCGAATGGATGACTGTTTTGTCTCAAAATGGTAGAAAACTTTTCTCAGATAAATTAACAATTACAGCGAATGGTAAAGTAATTAATATGATAGCTAAAAAAGCCACTTCTCTCATTTTATTGCTCTAATACAGTGCAAAAATTCCATCGTTTTTGTCAACGACTTTCAAATCTGTAACCCTTTTTTACTTATCACGATGTCACAAATGTTTCAGAAAAATTTTAAGCATACAATTTTCTGAAAATAACGAAAGACTGGTTAAATAGAATAGAAATGCTTACTTCCTTGATTGGTGACCCAGAATTATTTCTATCGAAATTGTCTTGAAGCGATTCACTGCAAGGAATTTAATAGTCAAGTACCAGATTAAGATTGTTTTTTTTTTTCTAATACAGAAGCTATGGAAATAAAGGATAACAAAATACACCAAATAAAAGTAATTATTTGAAATTT